TATGTTTCTAGACACACAACAGACTCGAAACGATAGAAACCGTCCGATCCGAGCGAGCGACCTGCGTTCTTGAAAATCGAGTCTTATCGCCCTTGCGTTTCCGAGCAAAAAAACGTTGAGGCCAAAAACGACCGATTTTCGCCCAATCTTCTATGAATTTTTCATAATTTAGCTAATTCAGTCCAGCGGTTAGAGTATTTATTAGAGACGCCCAGAGAACCAAAATTTGGGACGTGAATCGCTCCGGCGACGAAAAATCTGCGAAAATAGCCAAGGGGGTGAGGGACTGCATTTCAAAAACATATTTTATATATAGGGTATATAAATATTCCAATCTTAATGATGCATTCTTATTAACTATTCTTGTTAAATGTTGATGTGGTTTCTCCTAATTTTATCTGTAAAGTGCAAGTTGATTTTGCCACATAAACTAGATGCTGGGATACAATATGGAACATAAAAGTATGTTTAAATTTGATGGGTCTAACCAAAGACTATAGAGAAGTTTTTGGTCTAACGAGAATAATCTGGGGAATATTTAACAGGGTTTTAGTATTTGTCTTGAATCTAGGCCAAGAAAGTCCATTCATGTTCATCTCAAAATATAACCACCTCTTCACGATTTTATTTCCAACAAAAATGTAGCACTTTCTCATGAAAGTTTTTTTTCTCTTGTGTATTTTTTATTTGCGATGCCATTTGGCGTCACACGTTTGTGTTACGCAAGTCTAAGGGAGGAATCATAGCTCTTCTGTGTCGATAAAATTGCTAATGTCTGAAAATAACAAATTTAGTGACACCAATTGTATCAGAAATGACCAAAATACCATCACAAAGATTAAACCGATACAAGAAAAGCTGTGGACCCAGAGCTAGTCGATTTGCTAATGTCCTTGCGTATTCACAAAGCATGTATTACCTACGTACTGCATTTATAAATGAGTCTATATTCTCACTCGCATTTGTTTATGCAGTCAAATCTTTCCAAGCATGCACTGGATTCTCTGATGTCATTCGTTATAAATGCATTTGATTGATGCCTCTGCAAGTGAGTGAATCTTGGGGACGAATAATTGCTTTCGCCTTCCCAAAATGAGTGTGGCATACTCGCCCTGGTATACAGTCACTTTGACCTTGATGGGTCTGTGGCATACTCCCCTGTGTACAGTGGCTTTGGCGTCCCCAATGAGTCTATGGCACACTTACTTTAATAGTGTACAGTGACTTTGACATCCCAATAAAGCTGCCTTACTCGCATGGTTTACAGTGGTTTTAGCATACCCAGTGAGTCTGGTACACTTTCCCATTGTACAGTAGCTTTGACCTAAGGGATTCTATGGCACACTTGCCCAGGGTACAGCATTTTTAGCATCCCCAATGAGTCTGTAATACACTTGCCCAGTAGCTTTGACCTCAAAGAGTCGATGGCACACTCGCCTGGTTTACAGTGGTTTTAGCATACCCAATGAGTCTGTGGTACACTCGCCCATTCTACAGTAGCTTCAGTTTCCCCACTGTAATATTCACAGGATCCTACTGTTTTACTGCAATATTTTGCAGTATTTGATCTATAACACATGATGCCTTTTCTTCTTTTTTGACGTGGGACACAGAATTCTTTATCCAGAGATTACATTTTTTTATGTAATCGTGCAATTGTTGGTTACTTTGCAGGATTAACTCGCAAAATATTTTACAACAAATGGTTTTGACTGGACTCAATAATTCACTCGTTAAAGGTTCATACGATGATTCCATTCACTTAAATACTTATTACATATTCAATTGACGATTATTACTCAGTAGTGATTACAAAAATGTCAAAAAATAAATTCGTTGAATTGTTGTGAAAATTCAACTTAGTTTCACAGCAAGCCAATGATTTCGGTCACATGTAAACGCTCGATCAGATACGATATCCGCCATGTTTGTTCAAGCACTTTAGTGACTTGAAACTGTTTTTGACCTGATAGGTCAAGTTGCTAATTAACCAATCAAAACTCTGGATGGTGCAAACATGTTTAAATTACCATAGCTCATTTAAATGTTATACAGTACAGTTCTCGCGGAAGCTTTGGCTTTTGTGGCATCATTGTCGCCTACGCATGGCTTCATTGTCGCCTCAGCATCGCATCATTGTGGCATCAGCTTCGCGTCATTGACAATTGAAGCTGTGTTCGCCTCGCTTATTCTGTGGCATCATCGTGGCCTCAGCTTCGCAGTCTCATGGCATCAACATGGCATCAGCTTCAAAGTATTGCGACATGAGTATGACCTCATTATTTTCACACGGAAAGGCAGTAGAGTAAAAAAAACATGTACAGAAGTTCGATATGTAATCGATTTGAAATTCAAGTCGGTAAGGGAATAAAATATGACCAAGAGTAAAATGACATTTTAAAAATATATCTTGTTTAATTATTTAATGTTGCGAGTATTGGGTACCAACAACTTTGTGAAGTACATTGCAATCT